ACTAAGAGCCGATCGCGTTCACACCGGAATAAGTTCCCAGAGGGAAGATTACGCAAATGAAGCCGCTGACGTCACTTCTTCTTCTTCTGCTTTGGGTTTACTGGCATGCCGCAAACAACTTCACGCCGTATACTGCCACCCAAAGTTCCTGGCCGGAAGTCCCCGGAGTTGGGGACTGGCTTCAGTAGAAGCTGCTGGGACTCCCAGCTTCCGAGTAAATCGCCAGAATGCCGACACCTCCTCATCTCCACCTCTCCCATTTTTTTTTGTGTTGCCATAAGTTATTCTCTCTCCGTTGGTGCGCGGGGCTAATGCTAATAATGCTAATGCCAGCAAATACAATGGCGGCTTCAAAAGACTTGTCTTTTTACGGGGCGTGGTTTGCAATTCGCCCAGCCAATCAGAAATTGGTACTTTTTTCTCCCCAGGATAGTACCACCTCTATAGCAGGCACTAAAAAGGGGGTAAAAGTTCTCTGAACTAAGTTCTCTTTTTGGTGTGAACGCAAAATTCCAGGCACTAACGAAACTAAACGGGAAAAGTACGGCTAAAAGTACGAAAGCGCGTAATGGTGCTCTAGGAGGAGATTCAGGTGATAAGGTGGGAGGGGGGGGGGTTACCTTGGTTGGTGATTAGCTAATGGTTACACAAGCCAAAATATCGTTATGACATCATAAAGTGGCCAGAATCTGATCAGCTCATTTTCAGACAAGTTTTAATATAAATGGATCAGGACAAAAAGAGAGCGAATCTTTTTTCCTGAAACTTTCAGAATCTCTTTACACAGAGGAGACACATGTTTATAAAATACTTGACAAAGTGGATTTTGCATAATAAGTGACCTTTAAGAATCACAAAAATGATAAAAAAATAACAATTCTCACCTGAGGGGTTGAGCAGTCGCCAGTTGATTGCAGGGTCCGGCCTGCCGCTGGCCAAACAGCTGAGCGTCAAGTTACTGCCCTCGTTCACCGTGATGTCTTCTGACACTTTGTAGATGTCTGCTGGAACTGGACACACAAGAGAAATGACATCAGGGTTAATAACGTTGCTACTTTTTATAGTATGTAATATACTGTGCAATTTATCAATCCTGTTTTTCAATACTTTGCAATTATCCGTTTCATTTGTCAAATGCAATATGTATATCGAGTATATATGAATACAGCTATATTTTTTATATTTTCTGTCTTGGTTTTTTATCCTGTATGATCTTTATTTATCATAAAACCATGTTTTATTTTGCTGCCCTTACTCTTGAGCTCATGGTACAGTAGTTGTTGGATCAATAATGTTCTTTCTTATCTTATTCTGTTTCATATTACATTATACTGAGAAGGGCAAAGTTTGTTATATCCCACTAGACATCTAAACTTAGCTCACAGAAAGTTCTTATTTTTTTCTAGTAGTTAACTGACATTTTCCCCCTTAAAAATCAATAGAGTTGTACTCATCTTTCTTTAAAACATATTTTCGAATAACCAAGCCTGCTGCTTTTTTCCCGTGACATTTATTACTGTGTATTCATTACATTATATGTCACTTGTTAGACGCTTTTATCCAAAACGACTTACTCAATACTGTGGAAAATCCCCACAGGAGCAATTTGGGGTGAAGTGTCTTGCCCAGGGACACAACGACATGCTGACATGCAGTGGGGTTTGAACCTGTGACCCTCTGACCCAACACCAAGGCTCTATCCACTGCGCCACACGGCTCCCATTCACAGCAAGTATTGGCTTAAAGGTCCCATGTCATGGCCATTTCTACTGATCATAATTCCATTGTTGAGGTCTACTAGAATAGATTTATATTGTGCAATTTTCCAAACTCACATTGGTTTCTCGAACAGCATCTCTGTATAGTATGTGTATTCACTCTCTGTCCTAAACGGCTTGTTGGAGCTCCTGCCCCCCCTCCCTAGGAGCCCAGTGGCCGTCTGCGAGACAGTGAGACACAGCGAAACCCAGCCCGAACAAACACACACAACCGCAGCCTGGCTGGGAGTTTGTGTGTGTGCTCACAACCCGACTCCCAGCTTTGCTGCATCCCGCCCTCTCAGGGAGGAGAAATCGGCGGAGCTGCAGCTGAGAAAAGATTGAGTGTGTGTGTGTGACGGCTCCGCGGACGTAACGTAACAGCTCCACGGATTGGTCCATTTGGGTATGGGCACGTCACTGTACCCAGGAAGAAAAAGAGAAATCTCCAACGAGGCGTTCTGGGGCAGCATAGACAGGTATTTTCTGTGTTAGAGTTTTACTCCCTACAGGGTGTACTTTGAGGGTTTGTGACTCTGCAGACCGTTTACATGCATACAAACCTTCATAACAAACAAGGGGACGGGTAATAACCGGAAAAGCATGACATGGGACATTTAAAAGACATCACATGTAAACAAGGTGAACTCTATGATCTTAGTAAAAGGAAGAGTTTATAAAAGCTTTGGAGAACCTTTGTTTCCTTGCTGCTATCGACCCAGAAGTACTTACAACAAACTTTTCAAGGCAGGATCCAAATAAGCAATTTATTCGCTGCCACAGGACCTAAGCTCATGGAAACAGATTGCTTCTCTTGTCATATGGGGACCCACCAGAAGCTTGGCTCTGATTCTGAGTTCAGACACAGACCTTCAGAACAAGCTTTAATATATGGAGGTGAAATGAAGAAACTTTTAATGTGTGTTTATGTGACACTTGTGTTCAAAGCAACACAGAGCTTTTTCATCTAGACAGAGTGTTTAATGATCATCCTGCTTGTTAAACACTATCAACCCCACACTCCTACTGCTCTCACTCCAACACAACAAACCTAGAGAGCAAGAGGGAGGGGGAAACTTCAACTGTGGTGAATATACTGTTTTAAAGCGAGTCAGCAGCAAAGATGCAATCAATCATACAGGATGTAGAGGGCATACATCACTGTTTCCACAAACTGTGGGTGAAGTGGTTTGAATAAGGTTCACATTAACAGATAAGTAGTCAGAAATACAAATAATGATGAATGACTTTTGAATATGATAAATGTTGGAGCATCCATAATGCGGGCAAATGTTGAAGAGCAACTTTTAACTTGATAAGCAGTTTTTTTTATCAGGTCTACATTTGTCTGGACAGGAAACACTAAGGGTTGTGTTAACCCCATCACTCCCAGCATAAATACGTCCAATGTTTAATCTTACACATGAACCTACTAATGTTCTTGGTTTGGCTCCATCCTGTTGTAAGCCTACATTTGCTCTGTGACATCAAAAACAATGTCATTGTTTAAAGTGGACCTATCATGCTATATTTTAATAATATAGTGTAGGACCATACCTATATAAGGCATATTTATACTTTTTATTTTTCAAAATACCAAACAGATCATGCATTTTAGCCATTCCTCATTTCGCTCAATTTAACACTGTCTTTGCATGGGCTGATTCTGTGAGAACAGCACCATCTACAGGCCTGGCATATGTACTACAGCGTCTCCAGCGCTTTCCAACGGCAATGTCCGTGGCTGTCTCCTCCTGATTGGTGGAGTTGGCCCAATAGCCGTAGCGCCACTTCTGTGACGTCATATAAGTGTTCAATTCTGGATCAGTCTGTATCAGATCCGTTGCAGCCCCTTTTTAAGAGATTTGGGTATGGAGGAAAATAGAGAGGGTTGTGTTTTCTGACACTTGGTGAGTTCCCTGGAACACCGGGGACACATATTCATGTATAAAAGACGTACAAAAGTGCATTTTGCATGATAGGTCACCTTTAAACAGATTAGTGTTCTTTTAAACGGTTATACAGTTAAAACCTTTGTCAGTAAATTGTCTCTTTCTGATCGTAAAGGACATTTGTTCAAGAGGAGAGAGTTTATACAGTTACATGCAAACACCTTGAGAAAAAGAACTTTGACCAGCGTCCTTGCTTTAAGGACTTCACCCTTTTTGAGGGTCCACTCAGAGATCTTCTAGCTTGTTTATATTTTTGTTTCAGAGGTCAAACACTTTAACAACATGCAGTTATTTCCCTTCTCTGTCTCTTCAAAAAGAAAAGAAAAACTTGCTAAATCATGTTCCTTTCCCATTAATGCAATGTGACCCTGTCATTGTGCTAAACTAACCCAGAGGAGAACATTAAACATAACCATGTTTCATTTAAGTATTTGTTTAATGCTTGTATAACCAAAAGAGGAGGTCCAACAATGAACACAGACTTTAACGACAATATTATTTACTGGACCTTGACCTACAGTATACACATACACTATTTTGTTGTTGTAATGTACATCAAAATATAGAGTTTGTGTTCAATGTTTGTTATTCAAATTGGGATGTAATCATTTAGAGGTCTTTCTTAAAAATGAAAGAAGTTCACACAACTCCTTTCCAGAGCGTGCTGTTTCTGGCTCTCTTGCCTTTTTCATTTCGGTGCCCGAGGCTGTTTCCAGTGCATGTCAACTTTATATTGTATGTGCATTTCAATTAAGGTGTTAAATCAGGAGGTAGAAATATTTGTTAAATGTCAATGTTTGAATAAAACAATTGCCTCAGAGTCTGTGGCCTTGACCTGCACAACCAAGGTAGTGCATTAAACCTTAATTGCCATGATTAAAATAACAGTATATGCATTTATATCTATTCATCCATCCAAATAATTCTGTTATAAAAAGCTCAGTTGGGAGGCAAGCAATTAAAGCCTAAAGACTGCCTGCTTTCAAGTGTCAACAGCAGCACAATTTGTTGTAAAAAGCTAGTGTATAAAGGGACAGATTCTGCCAACTCTCAACAACTGTTGTCAATTTGGCCATAAAGAGGGCACTTAAACGCCAACTGCTCCATTAAAAGTTACTCAGTGGCTGTTCAATTGAGACTGCACTGTAGCCTTGCTATGGGCTGTCTATGGGCAATAATTAGACTGATGGTATACAGTATGTTGTGGATTTAAAATCAGCCAACAACATAGCACAACTTCTTGCAATCTGAGCCACTATCTGTCTAAAAATCTATATCATTTTCGAGAACAGAACGGTATCACAAACTTAATTTTGTGATACTTAACTATATCATTCCACCCCCTTTATTACAACCATCGTCCTTTTCTTGCAGTCTGGCAAATTAGATTATTGTGCCTTTATACAGCTGCTTTACAGTCTTATCTGGATTTAATGAAAGAAAAGGTTATTGTGTTCGCCAAGCTGACTGTGAAACTAACAAAAACCCATATGGAAAATTCATACCGATTGCCTTTAACATTTCCCAGGTTGTGAACACATGTGTGAGAGCGGCATCATGTGGGAATTCATATGCTATCAAAATCTGATCTGAGTTGTCGTGTTGAATTGAAATAAAGCAGCCCTGTGTCTCTATATCGATTGTTTTCTAAGAAACAATATATCAGCGTTTGTCTCTTTCAGATTGTTTCTCCTGCAAGGCTTCTCTCTCTCTCTCTCTCTCTCTCTCTCTCTCTCTCTCTCTCTCTCTCTCTCTCTCTCTCTCATACCATCTGACAAGACTTTCACAATCGTGCCAAACAGCATTTTAAATGAAGTCATACAGAGTTATTGCTGTAGTCAAATGACCGTGCCAAAATGAAGATGTGTTTTCAAGATATGGGAAGATTGAGCGGGAGGGGCGTAGACACTCGATTGAGGTGACAAAGAATCAAATTGCCTTTTTTCCACGTGAAAAACAACCAAAGTGGCATGGGAAAGGGTGGGAAAGTTGATTGGTTAGTTAGGATATGTGACTGGAGGATTAAACCTTCCAAGCATATCAAAATGATTCGGGGAAGAAACAACTGCTCACATTCTGATAACCCTGCCACCTCTATGAATAGGATGTGAGGGGAGCTGTAAGATGGAGAGGGAAGTGGAAAAGGAGAGAAGCTGAAATCAATCAATCAGAGCCATATAGCGCCCGATGTCCAGCTGTCAAGAATGTGGGGAGAAGTAAAGAGTGAATTGTGATATTAGTAATAGGTCAACCTTCAAGGTACAATGTTGGAAAGGTCATCTCCTTGAGAGCACTTTACCT